CCCCCGGTCCCTCGCCCCCCCCCACCTCACCACACCCAGGTGTGTCTTCGGCAGGCCCAGCTCCAGACCAGACTTGGCTGCCTCCTCCCCTGCCAGCAATAAGGAGCGGGAGCTTGTGCCCTCCGCCCCCCAGCCCAGCCTCTGGGCCTCCCCTGCTCCTCGCGTGTGTGTCCTTGCCACCATCTCTGCCGCCTTGGGAGAGGGGGCGGATGAGCGAGCGGGTCCCCCCCTTTGGACGTGGGGCTCGGAGGAGCGACGCCGCCTGCCCGCTCAGCAGCCCTGGAGAAGCCCCGGCCTCTCTGCCGCCCTCGGTCCACTGAGCCCGCCCGCCCTCGGTGGCGCCTCCCTGTCTCTGCCCGAAGTCACTGGAGCTTCCATCTTTCCTCATGTGCCTTGTAGCCCGTCTCCTCTCTGACGACAATCTTTCGCCAGGCCTGGGCTCTCCTGCTGCTGCTGCTGCCCGCCCCAGACTTGCCCTCCTGCCGGCCACGGCGCTGCAGTGGGGGGGGCAGGGCAGGGGCTGCCCAGGACTCTTTTTCTATAACGACTTTTTGGTGCACAGAAATTTCTTGTAATTTAAGCAAGGAGCCGATTCCTGCGGCCAGATTTTTTTTTAATTTAATGGATGTGGATATAACGCTAGAGAGATTAAAGTTTATTAAATGGTGGAACTATGCAAATCAGCTCTCTTCGTAGTCCTCGTGTCATGTGATGCACGCCCTTTTGAGTTTGATCTCGCTTTGGGTGCTCCTTTTCACCGTCAAATCCTTTAGTATGACCTTCTTTTGTTTGGGTGACGCCCCTTGATTGATCTTTCAGGTACCCATCGAAAGTGCTTGTTGCTAATCAAGGGATGTCAGAAGAGTGTGTGTGTGTGTGTGAGAGAGAGAGAGAGAACACAAATGCCTGCTGGAACACAAACCTAGGAGTGCCTGAAAAGTTCTCTGTGTCGTTCTGAGCAGGGCTTATGCCCAGTGTTCCCTCTAAGCTGAGTTTAGTGTGAACTAGCTCACAGTTTTTTAGCCTCCAGCTCACACATTTTTGTCTCCGCTCAGGAAGGATGGGGCTCTCCAGAGCATATTAGTTTATGCAGCAGCCCAATCACTCGCTCACAACATTAATGGCTGTAGCTCACAAAGTAGAATTTTTGCTCACAGGACTCCACAGCTTAGAGGGAGCCTTGCTCAGGCCGACTGCAGGAGGAAGGAGAGAGGGGAAAATGTTTCTGCACCACCTCTTGAAATGTGGCCTCGGGGACTGCGTGTTGGGGGAAAGCCTTGCTTGATGACCGGCCCTTGCTGGTACAGGAGGCATTTGGAAATGGGGGCTTCTAACCAAATGCGGCTGAGAACACAGGTGTGTGTCAATATGAAAAAGACTCTCCAGTGTGGTCCCCACTTCACATTAGTGGAGACTAAGCATAAGGAAGAAAATGTATCTTTGGTACAGGTAATTTTTTTTAAAATTTTTTTTGCAGATTGGGAAACTAAAGCCGGCAACTCCCCCCCCCCATTATTTTCCAAGGGGGGGGGAAACAAATTTGGGGGAGACACTGACATACATGCAGTACTTACTTTCTTATCAAACCTAAACTGATTCTGCTGCCTTGACCACAAAATGCATTTTCTTCGCTTTGTTAGCATGTAAAGTTGTATTCTTTGGTCTCATTAAGGCATTTCCGCCCTTCCTGACGTGGCAGCCTTCAGCAGGGCTGCCCCCCCTCGGCCCCCCTTGAGTCTCGGAGTGAGCGAGCTCTCGGAAGGGTCCGGGTCCGCTTCTTCGGTTGGGGCGCTTGCGTTTTCTGCAGTCGACACACGACCCCTCCTGCCACCTCCAGGCGCACACGTTGATTTCTGCCACCCGAGTGTTCTCTCTAAGCTGAGTTTAGTGTGAGCTAGCTCACAGTTTTTTAGCCTCCGGCTCAAACATTTTTGTCTCAGCTCAGGAAGGATGGCTCCAGAGCAAACTAATTTATGCAGCAGCCAAATTGTTCGCTCACAACTTTAATGCCAGTAGCTCACAAAGGAGAGTTTTTGCTCGCAAGACTCCACAGCTTAGAGCTGAGGTGTCAAACTCATTTGTTATGAGAGCCAGATCTGACATAAATGAGACCTTGTTGGGCCAGGCCATGTGTGTCATAAAAGGTAACGCCAGATAGCGGAGATATAAACTTCATAAAGGACACAAACACAAAGGTGGGTTTTTCACTTAAAATAAAAACATGCTTAAAAATGCGCTCTCTTGCAATATTTTGTTTATTTAACAGCGTCTGATAACTGACACCTCTTGCTCTGAATTATTGCATCAAAATGTCTGTGCTGTTGCAATCTTGAGTACGCTGCTCAGGTGTGTATCTGTCAGCTGCAAACCTACAATGATGCAGCAGCAGCAGAACTGGAAGAAGCAGCAGAAGACAGCCAGTTCTACTGCGGGCCTGATAGAAGCCCTCCAGGGGCCTCATCCACCCCCTGGGCCGCTTGTTTGACACCCCTGGCTTAGAGGGAGCATTGCTGAGAGGCAGGAAAAAGTAAAAGGAAAGACTTTGTAGGAAAGAGGGACGTGTACCATTGGGAGATAAACCGTCCCAGTGGGTAGGCACACTTGAACAGCAAGTTAAACTTCATAATATTGACACTATTTGTGCCTAAGTCACGGTGTGTTTCTAATTTTGATTTGTTATTATGTCAATTTGTTTTAAACAAATAATTTATGACATTGTTACCCGCACATTGTTACCCGCCCTGAGCCTTGCTGTGCAGGGGAGGGTGGGCTAAAAGTCTAATAAAATAAATAAAAGTGACAAACCTCTTAGCGCAAGTTCTCAGGAAGCACACCGAGACGTGAAGATGACATGAGGGCAAATGCAATCAGCTGACTGAGACATCTAATAAGCAATATAATAGCACTAGGGTTACAGAAGTCTGAAGCAATGCGTTAGGCAATACATGCTCCCCAGTGCAAAAAACAGTGCAAGCAAGGTAACAGAATAGCAAAGCAGTTAACACCTAAAGATACACAGTGGTCCAGTCCACTGTTCCTTTCCCTTTCTAACAAATGCCTGCCTGAACAATCCTGTGTTAAGAGAAGTTGCAGGATGCCAGGAGCATGGCACGGGATGGGAGCCTTCCTCATCTCCTGTGAGAGCCTGTTCCAGAAGACGGGGGATGTCTGTGCATGGATGGCTGCTGATTTTGCGTGTCTGAAGGGTGTCCCCTACAGAAGGCCCTGCCGACGTATGCGAACCTGTCCGTGCAGAGTGCGGCAAGGGAAGCGGTGCTGCAGATGTCAGGGACCAGGGCTCTGAAGTGCTTTGCCAGCAGACCTTGAAGGAATCGATGTGCAGAATGACTGCAGAATGGGCGTCATGTGCAGGAGATGGCTATAGCTGCCGTTTTGTACCAACTGGAGTTTCTGAGTTTCCTCCAAGGGCAGGCCCATGTAGGGTGTATTACAGTATACTCTTGATCTTACCATGGCATGAATCTGGGTCAGCTGAGGGGAGCTCATCTTCCAGGTGAAACTAAGTTGGGGAAAAAGCATTTTTGCTGCATTAACTTGTTTCTCTCCAGCAGTCATGCAGGATCCAGTATAACCGCAAGGCTCTTAACTGAGTCAACAAAGGTCAGCTTGAACCCCATCGAAAGGGGGAAGTACGATGTCCTTCAAGGCCTCAGCCTTTCTAAGCAGCATTTCCTTCATCTTCCTGGGATTATGATTCAGTATGTTCACTCTTAGATGCTCCATCGTCTATTTCCATGCAAACTGGGCAGTCTGTATTATCGAGGAATGGGAAATGGGAAAGAGACCAAGGAGGTGAATCGAGAGAGTGAAGCCAGGCGAATGGCTACCTCTCCGGGCAAGTTTCAGGTGCAGCCCTCAAACGCCTACCAAATGAAGGACCCCAAAAGGAAAACCACAAGCAGCACAGAGGAGGAAAGATGCAACATGTGCCAGGAATGGGATGTTTCGGCTCACAAGACAGCGTTGGTGGTGGGCAAGCAATAGTGCGGCGAAGGGGGTGGGTGGAGGCAATGCAACACAGTCGAGCACCGCTTCTGGCAAGGCAGAACAAAACCCACTCATTTGGAGGCAGGTTCTGGATTTGGGTGTTTGAAAGAGAAAAGGGTTTCATTTTTTCCTGGGCTTTGGGGAGTAGAATCCAGGAGAGCTCACAGGCAGCTCCCTGGTCAGTTGAAGGGGGAAAGGGGGGCTTCCCAGGGCCTGGGGATGGCTGCTAGAGACCAGAGAGGGGGAAATCTCGTTGGGGTGGGGCTTGGAGACAGGGTGGTTCTCCCTCACTGAGCTTGGATTATTTGAGAGACTTTCGACTGGTTGGTGTGTGAATGAGTGCTAACATGGCTCTAGGTCTTTGCCTGCACCGATGTGAACGCAGTGTCAAATATGCCTTGATGAATTGCCCAGAAGTCCTGATTCATGGTCTCTGTGGCCAGGAGGGAGGGAGGAAGGAAGAGGTCTCCCCTCAGAGTCTGCCTTCTTCGTTGTCTCCGTGCAGAGGGACGAGGAGGAGGCCTGGGACAGCTCAGCTCAGCCGCTCTGCTCACTCTCAGCCTTTGCATTACAACCAGCCTGGAACCGCTTTCTAGGTTGATCCATGCCCAGGAAACAGAATCAAAGAGTTGAAAAGGTCGTCTAATCCACACACACACCCCCCCCACTGCATGAGGCAGGAACTTCACAACTACCTCTCCCTCCACACCCCCAGCGACCCCTGCTGCATGCCCAGAAGACGGCAACAAGCCTCCAGGATCCCCGGCCAAAAATGGCCTGGAGAAGATTGCTTCCTGGCCCCAAAGTGGCGATCGGCATTTCCCCGGGCGTGTCAGAAAGGGCCACAAGAGAACTGAGCACTGAGGCAACCCTCCCTGCCCTCCCTCTCTGCCCAGGTTCACAGAATCAGCCTTGCTGTCAGGTGGGGCCACCTTGCTTGGAAACCTCCCAAGAAGGAGAGCCCACCACCTCCTCCCGAGAAGGCCAGTTCCACTGAGGAACCGCTCTAACTGTCAGGAAGTTCTTCTTAAGGTTTAGCCGAAGACTCTTCTGATTTAATCTCGACCTGCTGGTTGTGGTCCGACCTTCTGGGGCAACAGAAAACAACCCCGCCCCATCCTCCAGACGACAGCCCTCCAGGTACTACTTGAAGGTGGTGATCCTATCCCCTCTCAGTCGTCTCCACTCCAGGCTTAGACATCCCCAGCTCCTTCAGCCTTCCCTCACAGGACTTGGTCTCCAGAGGCCCCGCACCGCACCGTCTTCGCTGCCCTCCTCTGGACACGCTCCAGCTGGCTCTCCAGGGCAGGAGGAGCAGGGCTGGGCCGGGCCGGGTGGGCGGATGGTGGCTGGCAGGGACTCAGCGGGCAGTTCAACCGTAGAGTCGTCCGGCTCTTGGGATTGGGAAGGAACAGAGGCCTGCCAGCCCTGTCAGTGGCGCCTCACCTGGTTAGCGGCACCGCAGCCACCGGTGAACCTCCTGGGCAGTCATGTCTCTGGGCTTGGGAAGAGGTGGGGGTGGGCAGCTGCCAGCTGCCAAGCCACAGGTCCTTCTGGTCCTCCGTGGGGAGGGCCGCTTCAGGTGCTTGGCTCCCTCCATCGCCTGGCTCCTCGGCCCCTCCGCCGGCCTCAGCCTGGGGAAGCCACACCACGAGCGGAAGGGGGATCTCGCAACGCCTGCAGGGTTTGCTGCTGAGGAGGAGGAGGAGGAGGAGGAGGAGGAGGTTTCCTCTTCCTTCTTTGAGACCCGGCCACCAGGCGCCAAGGAGGCCAGCGCGGGCTCAGGGGCAGGATGCAGGAGCAGCACCAGGTCAGGCCACGGGTTCAATTGGGGGGGGCTCCCCTCTTCCACTGAGGGGGCCGTGGCGGGGTGAGGGTGAGGGGGCCGGCCCCCTCTCCCAAGCAGTGCTGGGCGGGCCCAGGGGGACTCCCTTCCCAGACGGTCCCCACGGCGGCGCTCGGAAGGAGAACGGCCGGATCGGTTTCCGTTCCTACCTTAGAGACCCTCAGGATCTTTGGGGGGGGGGGGAGTTCCCAAGAGCTCTCTCAAAAGCGCCTACACCCCCCACCCCCCCAGTCTCATGGGAGTTCTTGGGTCCAGCTGGAGAGAGTTATGCTGCCCGGCCCCCACTTGTTGGCAGGCAGCCTGGCACAGCCCCCTTGCCGAGGGAAGGAGGGGAAGGTCGGGGGGAGGGGGGAGCCACCTGCCCGGTCTTGGCCTCCCTGGCCACTGACCGACCGACTGACTGACCCCGGCCGCCCCCTCAGGACAGCCTTTCCCAGCTGGGGGATGGGGGGGGGGGGGAGCCGGTGAAGGAGTTTGGGGAACTGCTGCTCCAGGAAACGCAAAGGGGAAGCCACATGGCAAGGGAGGGGGGAGGGGGTTGGTCTGCGGGGCCAGAGCTCTCACGGCACCCTGACGGCGGCCGGCTTTGCAGGGAGGAAGTGCGGCAGTGGCGGCAGCAGCAGTGGGGCCGGTGGGGCAGCCCCTCCACGCCACCGCCGGCGGGGGCTTTGGGGTGCAGCTGGGCTGCCCGGAGGGCCACGCCGCACTGCTGCAGCTGCAGGAGGCCGAGCTCCGCCAGCTGGAGGCCCTGAAGAAGTGGATGGGCCAGCGGGCCAAGAGCGACCGGGAGTACGCCGCCCAGCTCCACCAGATGTACAGCCTGGCCGAGAAGCAGCAGGAGAGCGGCCGCCCGACCAGCCTCGGCCAGATCAGCCAGGTGGGAGGGAGCCCCCCCTGGCCCTGGGAGGGAGGGAGGGAGCCCCTGGGCCCAAGGCTTGTGTGGGGGGGTGCGCCCTGGCCTGGCCTGGCTTCCCACTCTGTTCTGGCCCCAGCTCCTCTGCCACCACCAGCCTGGGCATCCCCGTCCCTCACGCCTCTTGGCCTCCCTTCTCCTACGGGCCCTCCTCCTCCTCCTGGGCCGCTTGGCCTCGCCCTCCCCCCAGGCCCACTCCTCTCTCCCCCAGTTTCCCTGGCCAGGTCCCACCTCTCTCTCTCTCTCGCCCCCCTCTTGCCGCTCCCAGAGCTGGTGGTCGCTGGTGACCCAGACGGAGGCCCTGAGCCAGCTCCTGCGGCAGCACGCCGAGGCCCTGGCCGCCGGGCCCCTCCACAGACTGGGCCTCCTCGCCCGCGACAAGCAGCAGCTGCGCCGGACCTACGGTGAGCAGTGGCAGCAGCTCAACCAGGAGTTCGCCCGGGTAAGCCCGCCTCCCCTGCCTCCGCCCACCCTGCCTCCGCCCACCCCACCCCTGTGCCTCTGCTCCAGGGGGCAGTGCCCCCTGCTGCGGAAGCCCCGTGGCTGTGCGGGGCTCCCTCGTGGCTCAAGGTTGTTGGTGCTCTCCCCTCCTGGGGATGGGGGATTTTTGCAGGTCACTCAGCAAGAGCCGGACCGCCTGAAGGCCCAGTACCTGGCCCACATCCGCGAGAGCGCCCAGGCCAAGCGCAGGTTCCAGGAGGCCAGCAGAGGTGGGTGGGCTCATCAGAGCCTCGGGGGGCTGCCCTCCCCCTCCTCTGAGGGGATCCCCAGCAGCGCCCCCCCTCAAGGCCCCCGCAGCAGCCCCCTCCCAGCAGCAGCAGCAGCCCAGGCAAGCTGCGGGGGGCTGGTGTTGTTCCCACGCTGCTGCTTCCGGGGCGGCTGGCCCTGACACTCCCCCCTCTCCTCTCGCAGAGAAGGAGCGTGAGAAGGCCAAAGACCGCTACGTGCGGAGCCTGTGGAAGCTCTACTCCTCGCACAACCAGTACGTCCTGGCTCTCCGGGCGGCCGAGGTGCACCACGCCCACCACTGCCAGCAGATGCTGCCCGGCGCCCTCCGGTCACTCCACGGCCTGCAGGAGGAGATGGCCCACGTCACGTGAGCGGGGCGGACAGGCGGTGGGGGGTGAGGCGGAGCCGGGGCCTCTTCTCTCTGGGAAGGTGGAGGTGGGCTGGACCCCCTGGCCACTGTGCCCCCCCCTCTCTCTGTGCCAACAGGAAGGAGGCGCTGCAGGAGTACCTCTCCATCACCAGCCTGGTGCAAGAGGAGATGGTCTCCGTGCACCAAGCCATGGGCCGGGCCCTCGAGCGCCTCCAGCCCACCCTGGAGTACAGCGGATTCACCCCCCAGTGCAGGTGCGGGGCCCACTGGGTGCCCCGGGGGGTGGGGCGGGCAGGCAGCCTGCCTGGCTCTCTGTCTGACGCGGGGCGGGCGGCCGGTCTCCGCAGGTGCGGGGGGGAGTCCCAGCCGGTGGCGGCCTTTGACCAAAGCCTCCTGGAGGACCTGGAGACGGAGGGCCTGCGAGCCGGCGAGCTGCAGTTGAACGAGGATGCTCTCCTGAGAGAAAGCGGCTGCAGCATGGGTCAGAGAGGCTGCCTCCTCCTCTTCCTCCTCCTCCTCCTCCTCGGCCTGTGGGGCGGGGGGCCCTGGGGGGAAGGGAGGATCATTCGGCCCTCCTGCCCAGAAGAGACTCTAGTCTCCACGCGGGGAGCCCCCGGGCCCCTGCTGCCCCAGTGGCCGTGGGGGGCTGCCGTGGGCCCCTGAGTCCCCGCTGTCTCTCCTGCAGCCTCACCTCCGTGGAGGAGGAGCTGGCCGGGGCCACCAGCAGCGCTCAGGACCTCCAGCAGCGTGTCCAGGCCCTGCAGGGCGAAATCCAGAAGGAAGAAGAGCTTGCCGGAGGAGGAGGCGGCGGCTCGGGCTCAGAGGAGCGGTGAGGCTGGGGGGCTGTGGGGCAAGAAGGGAGGGGGGCCGGCAGGGACTGCGGCTGCCGGGCAGGATCCATCCTCACACCCAGGGAGCCGAGCAGCGACCCACGAGTGAGTTGTGGAGGGGCCCTGCTGCGGGAAGGAGGATCTCTGCTGCTGCGCCACTCTGCCATGGAGAACCCTTGATGGTGCCCCCAGCTCCCTCGAACGGGTGGCATGGTGGGAAGCCCTGCTCACGTTGGTTGCCCGTCACAGGATGCCCGGTCAAGTCCGGATTCCAGGCGGGGCACTTCCACCACCAGACAAGCCAATCTCCCCCCCCCCCCCCCCCCGCCGTGTCCAGAACTTCCCCGTGGGCTGGTGCGTTCCAGCCAGACGTTGGTGGGCTTCTGATCGAATTTAGAGGGAACAAAACCCTAACCCCCCCGTTTGTTTTCCCCGATGATTCCATTTCTGCTGGGGAATTTCCCTGCCTTCGCACCGCGGCTTGTGGATTTGCAGGATTCCTCTGAACCGGATGCTCTGAAATGAGTCGTGCAGAGGAGCTTCTGTGTGAATTTTGTCATTCCAGTGGAGTGGCTGTATGAGTCTGGTGGCAGGAAGGAGATAAGACAGGACTTTAGCAAGATTTCGTTCTAGCAGGACTGCCCGTGGACCAGAGGGCCCACTCGGCTGTCTCACGTGCCGCGGAGCGGGCCCTCTTCAAGGATATATGTCCTGAGAGAAAGCACACACACACACACACCGGCCCCCTCCGCCACCCCCTGCCTAGTCACAAAGGGCACTGCGGGGGAACCCCGGGAGGACTGGTGGGGTGTGAAACGCCCCAGGTGCCCTGGCTGGGCTGCTGAGAGACAGGAGACTCCCCACTGGGCAGAGGGAGAGAAGGGGGGCGGGGGAAGGGGGGGGAGACTCTCATCAGACTTGCAGGTTGTCCAGAAGAAACCACAGTCTGTTGTTTTGATGTAGCATTAGCAGTGCTCCTTTGGTCGCGTTAAACATTATATGAAGAAGAACAATTTAATCTACCTGGAGCGTATCCAGAGGAGGGCAGCGAAGACGGTGCTGCGGGGCCTCTGGAGACCAAGTCCTGTGAGGGAAGGCTGAAGGGGCTGCAGGGGATGTTTAAGCCTGGAGAGGAGACGACTGAGGGGGGATAGGATCACCATCTTCAAGTAGTACCTGGAGGGCTGTCGTCTGGAGGATGGGGCGGGGGTGTTTTCTGTTGCCCCAGAAGGTCGGGCCAGAACCAACGGGTAGGAATTAGATCAGAAGAGTTTTTGGCTAAACGTTTAGGTAGGACTTCCTGAGAGAGCGGTCCCTCGGTGGGACGGGCTTCCTCGGGAGGGGGTGGGCTCTCCTTCTCTGGAGTTTTTTAAATAGAGGCAAGATGGCCCCATCTGACAGCAGTGCGGACTCTGTGAACTCAGGTAGATGGTGAGTGGGAGGTCAGGAAGGGGTGTGCCAGCGCTCGGCTCCTGTGGCCCTTTCTTACATGCCCAGGGAAATGCCAATCAGCACTCTGGGGTCAGGTGTTGGACCGGTGGACCCTGGGAGTCCCTTCTGGCTCTCTGTTTCCACCGGCAGCCGGCATCTCTGCCTCTTCTGTGTACGTAAAGTGTCTCTGGACACCAGCCCTGTGTCTTGTGAGATCTGGGACTGCAAGTGGTAGCAGCGGCAGCAGCGGTGGTGGCAGCAACCGGCGGCCTCCCTGGCTGTGCTGGGCTGTGCCGGTGTATTAAGGACGCAGAGGGAGCTCTGTCTTTCTCCACCGCAGCCTCCTCCTGCTGGGGAAGCGGCAGGCCCTCCACGAAGCCCTGCACCACGCCCGGCTGGCCCAGTGCGCCCAGGCCAAGCTCCAGGCCCAGAGGGAGATGCTGCAGCACCGGCTGGGCGAGCTCGGCTCCAGGGACCCCCCGCCTGCCCCAGCCCTGCAGGAGGACAGCCCGGCTCTGGCCCCCGGGGGGCAGGTAGGTCCACCCCCGACCGGCCGTCTCCCCCCCCCTGTGGGGCCCACCTGGGCGTTGCCTTTTGGGCCAGTTGGGGCAGGGGGCACAAACCTGGAGCCCGGCAAGCCCCACAGCTCTGCCTGAAGTCTGCGGGAGCCCTGGCAAGCGTAGCGGTGCTCTTCCCCGCCACGATCCATCGTCCCCTCTTTCTCGGGCAGGAGCAGGAACGCGATGGGGGTCGGAGGCTGGCCTTGGAGGTCCTGAAGCACCACATCTCCGGCATCTTCCGCCCGCGTTTCTCAGTGAGTGTCTCTCCCCCCCCCCGTGTGGCACCTCCTGGCCGGGGAGTGCTGAGTGCCAGTTCTGCGGGCCGTGCCTGCTACCTGTTTGGGATGGGACGGAACACCTCCCTGCTGACCGCCCCCCCCAGTGCCTCCTCTGGGAAAAGGAGCCCCCTTCCTCCTCCTCCTCTCCCTGTCTCTCCTCAGCTGCCCCCCGTGGCCCCCGTCCTGCCCGAAGTGCAGAAGCCCCTCCACCAGCAGGCCTGGTACCACGGCGCCATCCCCCGGCTGGAAGTGCAGCGGCTGCTGCAGGCGGACGGGGACTTCCTGGTGCGGGAGAGCCAAGGCAAGCAGGAGTATGTCCTCTCCGTGCTGTGGGAGGGCCAGCCCCGCCACTTCATCCTCCAGGCGGTGGAGGTGAGCCGGTGTCGCCGCTGAGGGAAACCCGGGAACAAAGCCTTGGGAACAAAGAGTAGCAGCTTAAGCCCCCCACCCCACCCTCCCCCGGTGCTTGACAGCCCTTTTGCCACCCAGAGGAAGGAAGGAAGGAAGGTCACGGCAGCTCAGCAGCCTCCCCCGCCACCCACCGAGCAGTGCAAAGGGGCCACTGGTTCTGGTCGGCACCCCACATGGGACTCTGCCAGGAAGCCAGACTGGCTCTGCCCAAACAGACCTGAGGCTCCGGTTCTGCCCCTGCCTCCCTGTGGGCGCAAGTGTCACTGAACGCGCTGGGGACTCGTGTCCCTGAGTCTGCATTCGGGCGGCTCACTCTTCAAGTCCCGAGATCCTGTTGCTTCCCCACCGGCTTGGTCCCAGCCTCTGTCTGGAGTCCACATCGCCAGGGCAGGCGTGTTCTGGGGGGGTGGGGAGGGGGGGAGTTGTGAGTCACGAGGACGGGTGCTTCAGCAGGGGCACCCCCACCCCCCACGAACCCACAGAGGTGGAGAAAGAGCAGCGTCCCATGGCCAGACGCTGCCAGTCATCACGGAGACTGGCTAAAGGGGGACACGGATCCGGCTTCCTGGGCTCGGTGAGAATACGCTGGGGGCCTCTCTCTGAGCTGTTTATCCTCTGCCTTTCTCACTGAGAGGAGCCCAGGCAGGCCACGGAGCATGAGTCCGCGTGCCATCCAACAGACGATGCCGTCGCAGGGCCTGGGTATCAGAAACCTGGAGCCAAGCACGAGTCTTTTTTTTTTAATTAATACTTTCCGAAATTTTACATAATAATCATCAAGCTCAGCATAAATAAAAATTGAAAGTTGTTTTCCAGTACAATTTAACAACAATATTGGTTATATACACAGCTTCTCCATCATACGTTTATTAACATCAACTTAAGAATAAATCCCATCACGATACATCTCACGTTCTAACATGTAGCTAATAACCAGATACCAAATTGCTCCCATTTTCTGTTTGTATGGAGCCAAGCAGGAATCTGAACAGAGCGGCAACAAAAGCACAAGCCTTTAACATGAGGCGCTGAGTGACCTGAAAAACCACACAGTTAAGATCCTACTCATAGCAGCAGGCGGCACGAACTGCGTATCAAGCAGGCCGGTCCACAGCGCCTCACCCCTGTCCCAGGCCCGTCTCTCCTCCTCCTCCTCCTCCTCCT